GAGCATTTGTTTTTACATGTTTTCCCTCAAGACCCTTTACATTTATGAAAGATTTGCTTAGGCAAAACTGAAAAATCTATTCAATGACAATCAACACAGTCTAATAAGACAGGCTGTTGTATTCCTCTGGCAGAGGTTCCCTAGTGACATTTGTCAGAACTGGCTGTGCTCTTTTCAAATTTTAAGAACACCTGAATCAAACAACTTTTTTCAGCTTCCTTTACAAACTACAGGCATTAATATGGCCTACAGAAGACCTTACATCTCAAACACACAAGACAAGGCCAGTGCTGACCCTCCAAATTCCAATCTCTTTCTCTCAAATCATTGTGTGCGTAATTCTGTGTTTTCGTATCATCCCTTCAGCCGTGCTTTCCATGTCAGAAGAGTTTTTGTTTGACTGTTAAGAAACATGTACAAGAAGACCAATTAGACAAGCATGTACACATCTCTTTGCCAACGTTTCTTCTTAACATTTTAGTAGTTTAGCCAAAAGCCCATTTGGGCTTCTCTGAGAAGTGATGTGTCTCCTTCTGAGGGACTGCACTTGTTCCTGCACACAGATTTTGTATGTAAGAGATGGTTTCTTCTTTGTGCAGCTTCCAGTTTATCATTACATCAATCTTACTGAAAATGCAAGCCTTTCACCAAGGACAGACATTTAAAACAAGGATGTGCCCCCTTCTGCAAAATTCTCACTACAGCACTGTTGTGATTAGGCTGTTTATTCATCCCCAATAACCAATTATTTCCTATTTCTAGTGGGAATCAGACAATTTAGCCTTTTGAAATGAAAGAGCAGGCAGACAGTTCTAGAGGTAATCTTCAGTAGTGGTCAATCAGAACCACAGGGCGATGGAGATCTCCCTAAAATCCCAACACAGATCCTGTCAAACCCATCTCATTTAATTACATTCACCAGCTTTGGTTGATAAAAGTCACAGTGGAGATGGAAGATTTCTGGAAGGGAGTTTCACGTGGTACCACATAAGAGTCTTACACAACCGGTACCACAGAGAGTCAAAAGAGCACTGAGTAAATGAAAACTGTAAATGAAAAATACATCAGAGAGGCCATTGGAGAATAGATGCACCTACTGTGAATTTAGCTGTGCTGTTTATCCAGGTCACCATTAGCAGCAGCAGGATGGAAAGGCACCCACTGATGACAGGCTTTGCACATCAGGCATTGCCAGACACATTCCCAGGGAGGACAAGGCTGTCATATTCAGTACCACAAGCTGTTTCAGAAGGTAAATCAGCATTGGTTAATTTAGTTGAAGGCCTGCTACTCATCAGCCCAGGCTCTGGGCTCCTGCTGAATATCAACCAAAGTTTGCTCAGTGGCTACAGCAAGAGTCAGCAGTTCCTCACTGAGCTCATTAATGCAGAGCTCAGGAAGGAGGGCAAGCCCATCATTTCCTAATGCAGACAGCTACTGCTAGAGCCAGGCTGCTTCCTGGAGGAGCTACAGGACAGAAGTGAATTTTCTGTATCCCCTGGCTGATAATTTCTTTTCTCCTCAAAATAAGCCAGCAGAGTTATGACACATTCAGGTACCATCCCAAATCAAGGACCATTTATAATAAAATACATCTTGACATCTATTTGAAATCAGCAGTTCAACATAATCAAAATATAAAAAATACTTTTTCCAGTAGTCTCAGCCTGAGCCTTTGGAGATTTTGTGGATAATTAGCAGTTCACACTGTATCTTCCTCCCCCCATCTGGGACATGATATAAACCAGGCTGGCTCAAACTGTCACTATTTCAAAGAAAGCAAGTTTTCCCCAATTTGATAAAGGTTGCTTTTTCCTACATCGTATCAATATGTATAACCTCACTGTTTTTTAAGTGTTTGCTCTCCTCATTCAGGGTACCAGTACTTCAAAGACAAGAGAAAAAAAAATAAAAATCAACATTTATAACATTCCCAAATTTTCATTAGTCTTTGACATGAGCTTGTATTTCAAGGTTACTGAAGTGTCTTTGAAATAAATGGCTCTCCCTGCAGAAACATAACATATTAAATAAAGAAATAAATAAATATGGATTATGCAAGGAAAATCAAAAGTTTAAAGTAAGCTTTCATAATACAAGAACAAACTGAAAAAAAAGGGATACAATGGACAGAACAGTTAGCAATTATGAAAGTTACCTAAATATGTAACTCTCTTCTGTCTGAAAGACAGTTTAATTTAATATTCCCTATGCTCAAAGTCTCTAATTGTGATAAGTTGCAAAAACCATCTTTAAAATACATTATCTCTGAAAATACTTTACTTACATTTATAGAAAGTATTTTAATTCTATAGTCAAAAATCCTTTTGAATACCATGTGAAAAGAAAATAATTGTAACAGGATTGCTTAAAGGCATTGAAAAATCGAAAAGCACAAACTTAACAGGTTAAGAAAAAACTGTACTGCAAGCCAAACATGTTTTTAAATGGACGATCTGGGCCACACCTAGAAAAATAGGAGCACATTTTCTCTGTTCTCTATGTTCTTCAAGAAAAAGACCCAACTAGATTGCCTTTAATAGAAAAGAACTATCACACAATAGTAGGAAGTCGTAGATCACTGAAAGCAAACTGCAAATAAGCTACACAAGAGATTCCCTCCTCACTGGTGTAACATCTTTTAGAGCAAGAGCAGCTTTCTTTGGTTTAGTATAAACCTCAAAGTGACAAACTCAAAGCTGCCTGTATTGCAGAGTAAAAGTCCCTGCAGAGAGTTACACCTCTATCTGCTTTAAGTCATCCTCACCCTCGCTCCACTATGATTTGCTGAACCAATAGTCCCAAGATACTGTCTCATCACAATCAGGCCCTGTGTACGGCTTCTTTATACTAAATATATACAGAAAGAGTTTGCTTACAGGTTTAAATCTAGCCACCTGCATCTACTGATAAATTTGTAGAATTTAATAAAAATCATATTAAAAACTCCTTTATCTTTAATAGCTTTCCAAGAACTTCTGAGGTCAGTCTTTTTTAACAGCATTTACAGAAAAATTTTCCATGACAGAAAGATGTCACGTAGGTTCTACTCCCTTTCAACAGAAGTAAAATAGGGAGGACACAAGAAGTGTCAGATGAAAGGTTAACTCTATAGGTTAATCAAAACATGATTGACTTGACATGCCATTGGCTAATTACTGATTGATTTTTGGAAATAATTTAAAAATCAGAAGGGATTTTTTTTCTTACATGAATATTTTTAAATTATATAAGTTGGTTTCAGACAGTTCTTTTATTCATACTCACTTTCTAAGAAAAAGGAATTAAAATCAAGACTTGAACACTTTGCTTCTTCATTTCTTAAGCACAGTCCTACATGAATAATAATGCTGAATGTTTATGATTTCTTACCATTAACTGTAAATATGTTTAGTCAATTAGCAGAATGTTTCACAGATTGCAGTGGCAGGGTTGGCAAACCATAGATCAAACTTGGTTCATTGGCAAAAGCACCGTTTCACACCCTGTTTGCTGGTTCTATAAAGGCAATCGAAACAAGTTCTCCTTTGCACACATGACATCAGCCTGTGCAAAGCTGATCGACTGGTACTGCTAAATGAGCTTTCCCACATGCAGAGAAGTACAAATCCAGTTTGTTCTTCCAACTGACACCAGCCCTAGAGATCTAACAAGCAATAATCAAATATACAGATTTAATAAAAACAGCTTTGAAATTAAGCATCTCAGTGGCAAAACTTCAAATATTTGTTTCAAACACTCACAAAACATGACAATATTATATATATATGTAATTATTATGCCTGCATAACTCCAGCAGATAATACTTCACATTTTCCTAGCAAACACGAATCCTAAGAGCTTCCTTTTGGGCACATGCAGAAATAGATATGTAAACTTTGGTTGGAGAGACCAAATAAAATCTCTAACCCTTAATCATCTCACTCCTTTCAGTCACCCATTCTAGATGCCGAGATAGAGACACAAAGTGTCAGGCAGCGCCCGCAGATAGCTGGTGATTGTTACCAGTAACTGGGAAGACAAGACTTAAGCCCCTGCACGAAGGTTAGAATCAGAGTTAGTTCTCACTACCGACATGACTTATATCCAACTTAAACCAGGCAAGTATTACAGTAAGGATTACCAAACATTAACAACTTAAGAGTCGAATTACTGCCTAACTTAAACATTACACAGCAAAACGCTGCACTGGATATTTATCTGGGAAAGCCTCAGTTACTGCTGAAAGTGGTGCAGTGATTTAGAGCTGGATGTGCTTTCTTTGGAGTTGCTGCTGTTGCCATACTTCCAGCAGCCAGCGCCAAAGCACATGCCATTGCTTGCGTAAAGCAGACGATCAACAGTGTTATTTTAACTTATCTATTGACCCCAAGTAAAATAATCAGATTTTAGAGATTCAGCTGAATGAAGGTGCTGAAAATATCACAGATTATCAATTCCTGCTAATTATGAACAAATTGATAGATTGTAGAACCCCCTGGAAGTACAAATACCAGAATCATTTCCAGATTGTGGTTAATGAAAATAAAATCGTTAAAGAAAAGGCTAAAGCTACAACTCTGACGCTACAAAGTGACTCGAAGCAAAGAAGGATCAACAAGAAGCCCTTTAGTTACTGGCTCTCCACCAAACTCTCTGTAAGACAAAATGCCCGTAAAAACACTGGATGCTTATCCAAACTTTGCGCAAATAGACAAGAGGAAAAAACTCTGACGGGAACAAAAAGCAGATTGTTACCGCGAACTTTTCATGCGTGCTGAGCTAATCCCCAAAGCCAGCATAACCTCCATTCACAAGACAGAATTACTAGAACACTTCTCGTTACCTGAGCACTCGCTTAAATCACAGAGGGGAAAAAAGAGTGAGGCAAGGAAAAAGCTACGAATCTCACATTTTCCAACCAAACTCAGCCACCTCCCCTCCTGAAATCAGGTCTGCCACATCCTTACAGCCCGGGGTTGGCAAGCGCACGGATGAGGACACGGAGGTGTGAGCATTACCTGCCAGCGGCCGTAGCTGAGCAGCAGGAGCGCCAGGGGGATGGCGGTACCCGACATGGCGTGGGTGGAGGGCATGCTGTACTCGGAGTTGTAGAAGACCTCCAGCTTCACCACGGGCGGCGAGGCAGGACGCGGCCAGCGGATCACATCCTTGGTGCACTGCCCCAGGTACATCACCCACACCCAGATGATGATGAGCCTCCGGCCCAGCCAGGCGTCCACATTCCAGATGCAGAAAGGGAAAAAGAGGATGTAGAAGAGCTCGTTGCCCAGCTCCGTGCCCAGGCTGAACAGATAGTAGAGGAAGCGGCTGCGAGTGGCGAACTCCTGGCTGCCGTCCTCCTCCTCCGTCAGCGAGTTTCGGCGCGGCCTCCTTCTCCAGCGCCGCGGGGTTCCCGCGCCGGGCACGGCCCCGTTCCCAGTGGGATGCGCCTGCTCGCCCGCGGGGCCACCGTTCGCCACCGGCCCCCGTTGCTCCCCGCCGGACCAGCCCGAGGGCCCCTCAACCCCGCACAGCCGCTGGAACGCGGCCACTTTCCGCGGGTCCTGCAAGTGGGCGGCTAGCCGGGCCAAGCGCTGGCCGAGAGACATAGCGGCTGGAGCGGGGGCAGGCTGAGGGCGGCGGGGGACTTCGTCTGAGGGGCGGAGAGGGGGATAGGGGCTCTGCGGCAAAATAAAGCCCCTGAAGAGAAACCCGCTGGAAGGCAAGGCGAGGCGCCGCGGATAGCGCGGGACTACCCTCGCCTCACCCGCTGCCTCCCCCGCTGCCTCCCGCCGCTCGCTCCCGGCTCTCTCCCTCACGCCCTCCCCGTTCGCTCGCTCCCTCCCTCACGCCCGCGCCGGCCCCGTCGCGCCTGCGCGCAGCCCCCACCCCGAGGGAACCGTCCATCGCGGCGCGGATTGGCCGCGGCTCTCCCTCGGTCCCGCCCCCCAGGGCGGTGCAGCCAATCGGAGCTCAGCACAGCGCGAGGCGGAGCGCGGTGGCCTCGGGCGTGAGGGGCAGAGGCGGCTGAGGGCGGCCGGTGGCGTGGTGCGTGTACCACGGCGCCTTGGAGCCTCCTTCACCTCCTTTTTCTCCTTCTTCGTTGTAGAAACACAGAATCACTTGGGGTGGAAGAGACCTCTGAAATCGTTGAGTCCCGCCTGTGACCGATCACCACCTTGTTCACCAGACCATGGCACTGATTGCCCCATCCAGTCTTTCCTTAAATACCTCCAGGGACAGCGACTCCACCAGCTCCCTGGGCAGCCCATTCCAATAGCTAGTCATCCTTTCCGTGAAGAAATTCTTCCTAATGTCTAACCTAAACCTCCCCTGGTGCTGGTTAAGGTTTCTCGGAGCCTCAATCTGGTTTTGTAAACACGAGAGGGAAAGCGGAGGCTGCGGACGGTCACTGCCCCGGCGGTCAGGCCGGTTCAGCGATGGAGGCAGGCAGTGACCACAGGGCTGCGGAGCCGCCCGGGGAGGTTCTGCAATGCCTGAGGCATGAGCCGTGTCTCATCCCGGCTCCATACTCGGGAGGAGACTCCACATCTCTAGTGAGTGTGTGTGCAGGGCTGGGAGTTGAGCAGGACCAGGATATTTGTGAGCAGGTACTTTGCAAGTCCGCAGTTCCTGCGATTTCACAGCGGAAATGCTGTGAGAAACGCGATCTCTGGACACCTGCTGCCCACTGTTGCTTCTGCTTGTACTATAGATACTTCTCCTGTGTATTTTTATCTTGCCTTAAAATCAGGAGGTTAAACAAAAGTTAAACTGTTGCTTTGTGCCGTTTTTAAAAGGGTAAGCAATATGACCCAAGCAACTGGTTAGCTTAATAGTTACCCAAACCGAAACAGAAAATCTGATGTGGAATTCAAATTATAAAAAGTTGGAACAAAGGAATATGATGCAGATCTACACTGTTTTAGTTAAAATATCTATCAATACTGTTTTGAGGAGTATTTGACTTGGTGCTGTGTGATAGTCTCATTATACAATGGCAACAAACCTTAAAAATGGAATTTGCTGCCCTATCTCAAGAAGAAATCTGTATGATGACTTAATTGAAAGAGATGGTGTCTAAAAAGTAGTAAGCAGTAGTAGTCTAAAAACCTAGTAGCAGGTTCCATGTCCTGCTACGTTTTTAACAATGATCTGGAAGCAGATCCAAACCTACTGATGCAAAAATTCAGCTCCAGAATTAATGGAATTGAAAATAATGATGAGGATGGGGCACTGGTCAATACAGTTTATACAGGCAGCTTGTTCAAACCTAGTGAATTTTTGTTCATCAAACCAAATAGCTGTCTATCCTAAAACCCAACTGTGGAGACCATAACTGGAAAATAGAAGACTCTGAAGCTAATGACTTTGAGAAGGATTTAAGGGTCAGATAAGTAAACAATCAGATAAGGGCTCTCCTATGCTGCTATGGTAGAAAAGGATTAATCAATGTATAAACAAAGGAATTAAAAAGTGTTTATTTTACCTCTCATGTTTGACCTCAATAATATCATCACAGGGTAGTGCAGACAGTGCTGGTTTTCAGATTTTAAGAAGCACACTGGAAAATAAGAGAGAGCAAAAAAATGAAGCAAAATGTTCTAGTGGTTGGAGAAAATGCCTTACACTGGAATGTTTTAAGAGCTCAGGCTATTAAAGTTATCTGGAAGAGAATTTACTTGATTGGTTGTGACCTGATTGTAGTGTATAGGAACATTTCTGAGGGGAAATACAGGATATTAAAGGGTTCTTTAATCTATTGAAGAAAGGCATAATAAGAAGTAATGACCAGAGGCAAAAGCCAGAAAAATTCAAATAGGAAATAAGACATATTTTTCCATGGTTAACCACCAGAACACATTCACAAGAGAAGATGAGGATTTGCCGTCATTTCATGTCTTCTGTTGAAGATTAGATATATTTCTGAAAATTAGTTTTTAGCCAAGCAGAAGTTATGCTTTATTTTATTGGATAAATGCTGGTTGAAATCTGATGGCCCATGATAAGCACAGCATCAAGTTGATCTCCTGGGACCATTGTGTTTCAAATTCTAAGTGCCAGAAGCAGACATTTCATTTATTACCATGAGCATTAGAATAAATTCTTTTTTGCCTTGAAATACCTATGCACCATAAAAAAGCTGATCTGAATTAAGCTTTTGGCTGCAGAATATATTTACTAAGAAAATATCGAAAGGTTTTGGCCTTTTCCTTCTTAAATTTACACTCTTGGGATTACTTGGGAAAATTTCTTTGCATTTTAATTTAAATCTCTGAAGGACTATATCCTTACAAGAAAATTCATTTGGTGCATTCTGATTCTCTTGGCCTTGAGGCAATTTTACATATTTGATGTTCACATTATGAAATATTTCTTGTGGGATTATTATGCAGAGTGCTCAGGTAACTGCACCAAATGAATCTTGATAGATTTCCTATATTGTACATTATGTATATTTGTATGTGACATATGTTTTCATTTTACAGCCTTAACCTCACTTGAGGCATCATATTACCAAAAGAGGAGCTGCTGTTACTGAAAGAAGAATGAATGAAATAAAAATAAGATTTCAGATCAGTAGCTTGGCAGAGAAACATGAAAAAATCCACCCCCGAAATGGTACATGATGAATTTTTCTGTCTTGAGACTGGAAGGTGTGCTGTCATTTCTCTGCCTTCTGAGAAATGCTAATCCTGCAAGATGCATGTGCTTCCTAATTTACATGCTTCCCTGGCTCTTGGGCAGAAAATGCAAAGACAGGAGCTGAAAAACAAGCTGCTGCCTCGTTTGTGCATTTTCCCAGAGTCAAGCCACAAACAATCTCCCCTTAAACACAGAACAAACTAAAATCTGTTAATTAACCAGATGACGAATTCTGGAATGGGATCTGAATAACTGTACAGGAGGGAAAATCAGCGGTCACAAAGCAAGACTTGTCTTTATGGTATGTGCTTGGTAACTTAAAAAGGCAGAAAGTGTTTGTGTGTGTGGCTGAAACTTGTTTACTTGGACTTTGAACTGTTAGTGTGAAAATGGCATGACATTAATATTGAGGGAGCTTTTAAATTACCTCTGTGCATTTTAAGGCAAGTTCCGATTGAAGTGGGCACTCCAAGAGGAGGTTGGGGTGTGCCCTAACGCTGAACTTGGACAGAAATTGTGTTTCTTTTTAGTATCTGCAGAAGATGGCCCCAAGGCTGTTCTGGATCCATTTCAGCTCAGCACCCAAGGGCTGCCTGAGCTGACACCCGTAACATGCATTTCCAAGGATGCCTGGCAAAGCAGTGCACTCGCAGCCATGTTCTGCAGGCTGGCAGGATTTGACAAGACAGCTGTGGGAATCGATGGCAAATGAGGTGCAGAACTCATCCCACTCACAGCTGCTGCTGTCACAGCCCTGCCCCAGTGATAGGAACAGCACCAGGAGTTCCTTTTTGAAGCAGAACATCTTGCTTGGCACCCTCTTAGATGAGCACTGGTATTTAATACACCAGTTCTGCCTTGTAAAGCTTTTAACAATTGCAAACCAGTTTATCCCAGTCAGCAGAAGCCAGTTGTTTTTATGTCCTAATAAAACTGAAGGAGCAGGTGTCAAGATGTTCTCCAGGACTGGGGGAATTGTTTTCTGTCATCACCAGAAATAGCTTGAATCTAGTAATCTTTTTGTGCCAAAGGCATGTAGGATAGTATTTTGTCAAGAGAATTAAGATTATTTCCCAGCATGAGGGAGGATGGGAAGGAGTATCCACAGAGGTCTGAAGGACTGCCATCATGTTGAAATAATTATTCTAATGCTGCTAGGGTTGTGTTATATTATTAATGATGTTAAAGTGCCTAGAGTCAGAGGAAAGCTTCATTTTAGCTGATTTTTGAATGTCAATGAATAAAATGTGCTAACCATATCAGGTTTGTTATTAATTTTTAAAGAAATTAGTGAGTTGAGTGCCCAGATTTGGGAAGGCAAGAATGTATTTGTTATAAGGTTTATTATAAGTCTTGAAAAATACATGAGAGAATAAGGGAAAATGGATTTAATTTCTAATTAATGCTTATTGCTCTAAAAAAAAAAAAAAAAAAAAAAGCAGTAAAAAAAGCCTGAGAGTGTTTTAATTTGTTCCTGAGTATGAGCTATTGCAATAGCTCAGTGAAGGTGCTGGACAAGTGCTAATGTACCATTACAGCAGTGGGAGAAAGAACAGGCTGAAGGGTTTTCAGCTCACTTAGGCTGTACTTGGTTGTTGCTGAGTCCTGCACAGTATTTTTCTTAGTAAGCAATTTAAGGCATTAAAATATTGCTTATCTCTGTAGAATTTACTCCTCATGAATCTCAGTGATGCCTTTTTCAATAGAACTTTAAGGAATTTAGCTGTCTTTAGTAAAAATGTATGTAATGAGACAATGTAGCACTTCTCTTAGATAAGATGTAACAATATGTCATTCTGCATGGGCAAAAAGCCCAAAAATCCTCAGTAGTTTGGAAAGAGTAAGGTTTGGTTCTTGTGTTTTTGGGGGGGTTTTGTTTTGTTTTGTTTTTTGGTAGTGTTCTAATTGCTATGCTAAAAATTTTACCATTGCAGTAAAAAATTAACTCAACGACTTGCTGCAATATCCTGATTTCAATTTAGCCTGGTTATGCATTTATTTCTGCAAGATAATGCTCTAAGTCCTGTATGCAGGAGAACCTTTTTTGGTGGTGGTGGTGTTTCATAACACTTTGCCTGTATTATTTACTTTGTTAATCTGTTAAATTGTGCACACACAGTGCTTTGGCATTTGGGCATGATAGGGAAAGATC